ATATTCCACATATGGTATATTTTAGAATGAAATAGTGCCTAATTTAAAGTAATTTATATTTAGATAGAAGCAAACAGATATATAAGCCATGACATAACCTAAGTTTCAGTTTTATTGTTATAAAATGAGAATTGTACATTTTTTAGCAAGATCTAATTGCAGAACTCCATACCTGTTAGTTGTTCTGAGTTTCTTTGTGTCTCCTGTGTTTTGCAGCCAATAATCTACTTTCTGTCTTTGCTGAACATTTTATATAGCACATGATCTTTTATCTCTAGTGTCTTTGATTTAGCATAATGCTTTCAATATACTTGCATGTGTAGTATTTACTAGTAATTTATTGTTTTTATTTATTTACCTTTCTCTCTCTCTTTTTTTTTAAAAATGATTTCTTTATTTTCATTTTATGTACATTGGTATTTTGCCTGCATGTATGACTGTGTGATGGTGGGTGATCTCCTGCAACTGAAGTTACAGTTGTGATCTCCCATGTGGGTGCTGAGAATTGAACCTTGGTCCTCAGAAAGAGTAGCCCGTATTCTTAACTGCTGAGCCATTTCTCTAGTCCTTTTCTTTAGATTTTTAAATTTCACATGGCTCAATCTGTGATTACTCTTCCCTTTTCTCCCTTCAAACCCTCCCAGATAATCCTCCCAGCTCTCCTTCAAATCATGGTCTCTGTTTCACTAATTGTTATTGCAGATGTATATGTATACACACATGTGGTTTTAAGTGTCAACTATTCAGTCCGTATAATGATACTTTTATGTATGTTTTCAGTGATGGCTCTTTGGCATTGTACCACCAGTTGGTGTGTTCATCCTTGGGGTGGACCACCTCTTCAGTGCTCAACTTTCCTTTGTTACCAGAGGAAAAGTTCTTTTGTATGATTGAGACCTATGGGCTTTTCCCTGTAACTTGGGCATGCCCATTGATGTTGTCCTTGTTCAACTCATGTTTAGGCAGCCATGTTGGTGAGATTGAGACTTTATGGGTTTAGCTTCTCATTACTAGAAAGCATGGTCTCACAGCAAACTCCCTGATCTGTTTCTTACAATCTGCATGTATAGTTTTAATATTCCATTGTTTTTAGCTTTGAAAACACTCCGTCATGGAGATATACTATAGTTTTGTTTATTCTTCCCTTGATGACATTGGGGTATTTCTGTCTTGTGACTTTGGTAAGTAATTTTGTTATGAACATTTACTTTTATATTTAATAGTCATGTTTTCATTTCTCGTGTATGTACCTAGAGTTTATAATTGTCATATAGTGTTGGTTGTTGATATTCCTATTTGCTTAGTGATTTGTTTTAACTAATTCATTAAAGTCTATACACTTGTGATGTATTACAATTAACGATCTCCTCAACTAGCTAAGTGATGAGCTGCAGAAACAGAATTTTTATTTATTAGTTCAAATTAGGAACAAGCTTGCATTACATGTCAATCCCTTCTCCCTCCCCTTCCCCCAATCCCCCACCAGCCCCCCTCTGCTCCCCAGGGAGGGTAGGGCCCTCCATGGGGGCTCCCCCCAAGTCCCCCACCTCATCCTGGGCTGGGCCTAGGCCCTCCCCCATGTGTCCAGGCTGAGAGAGCATCCCTACATGTGGGATTGACTCTCAAAGTCCCTTCTTACACCAGGGAAAAATACTGAGGGGCCCCATGGAGTGCCGAGGCCTCCTCATTGACTTCCATGTTCAGGGGTCTGGACCAGTCCCATGCTGGCCTCCTAGACAGTAATCTGGGGTCCATATGCTCCCCCTTGTTCAGGCCAGCTGTTTCTAAGGAGAAACAGATTTTTTAAAAGATGCCATGACTTAATAAGTCCTCCAGCCTTTGAATGTGGTTCTGTGTTTGTTATCTCCACTTCTCTAATAGGCAGTTGATAACCCTGCCTTTGCTTTCATTTCCTTCTTGTGCAGAGCCTCAAAGCCACCCAGTGATGACAAATTAGGGTCTTTTCAGTTTTTTCCTGGGCACATATCTGGCCTTTGTGAGTCTCAGGAATAAGGGAAAACTTCTCAGACCTTTTGCACTCTTTATTTTCTTACCTAACTTTATAGGTGAGGTTCTTGTTACACAGCTCTCGTTACTGCTTCACACACCTGGAATATTAAACAGTGGCCACTGGTTTTGTTTGTTTGTTTTTTAAACAAATAGTCTGGTGGCTTTCAGTAAGTGAGCTGTAAGTCACATCAGAGATAAAGTTGTGCGTGGAAATATGCAGGGAATTGCTCGATGTCTTAGGCTTTCTATTGCAGCACTATTGTGTCCAAAATCAACTTGGGGAGGAAAGGACTAATTTCATTCTATACTTCCAGGTGACTGTCCATTACTGAGGGAAATCAGAGAAGGAACTCAAGTAAGGCAGGAGGCTTCGAGGAGTGCTCCTTACTGGCTTGCCTCTCATGACTTACTCAGCCTGCTTTCTTTTTGTTTTTGTTTTTCTTTCTTTATAATAATTTAATTTTTTTTTTTAGTTTTTTTTAGTCTCCTCCTCCTCCTCCTCCTCCTTCTTCTTCTTTTTTTTTTTTTTGGTTTTTCAAGACAGGGTTTCTCTGTGGCTTTGGAGGCTGTCCTGGAACTAGCTCTTGTAGACCAGGCTGGTCTTGAACTCACAGAGTACTGGAGTACTGGGATTAAGGGTGTGTGCCACCACCGCCCAACTCAGCCTGATTTCTTATACAATTTAGGACCACCTGCCCAGTGTGGTACCACTCACAATGGGCTGGGCCCTCCCACATCAGTCATTAGTCCAGAAAATGCCCACAGACTTGCCTGTAGACCAGTCTTATGTATACATTTTCTCAAATGGCATTCGCTCTTCTCAGATATGTCTAAATTTGTGACGAAAAACAACCAGCACACTAGATGTCAAAGAGTGGTTGTTTTCGTGGGTTGGAACTTGTAGGGAGCTCCAGTACTCTGTTTCTCCATCCTTGTTACTGCAGTGATTTTTCTCAGTCGTGTGATTGTGAGGCTCATAAATTTTAAGGCTTCTGGGAAGCTGATAAAATAGAGCTGCTTAAAAATGCCAGCTTAAAAACCCAAGCCTCACTTTTCTACTGAAGGTCAGTCAGCATTTAAACAAAATTCCCCAGATTATTACAGACTTTTGGGAAACTTCTGTAGTTATAAAAAGTTATTTTGAACATTTTTGCTACAACTCTCCACAATACCTGATTTCTTTTACCACTCCATCCTGTGTCCCAGGGTGATATTGGACCACAGCAGTTCTTGTAACATGACAAAACCCTTTGTTGTCTCAAGACTTAACAGATATTGTTTCTTTTGCTGCAGCATCTTTTTCTACATATTGTTTAGCTGACTTCTGAGTGTTCTGGTGTGTGCTTAAATGTTAACTTGAGTGGCTTCCCTCCTCGGCCTCCCATTCTGAACCATAGGCTCTTGTTTATTGTTTTCTACTCCCAGGTTTTATCAGAATATTTGTGTATTTGTAGTCATTTATATTTTAAAACCTGTTTATATCCACCTGGTATATAATCTCTGAGGACTATTTGATAGTAGTCAGAACATCAGACACAAAGGTCCAGAAAGTTAGAGGAAATGAGATTAGGAGAGCAGTCTGCAAAAAGTTTAGTTTTAGTATCTTTTTATACTCTTGTTGTTGAGGACCTAAATTATTTTTAGTGAATGATATACCAATAGTTAGCATATAATAATTAAATTTAGAATTGAATTTACTTAAAAATATGTTCATTTAAATGTTTTAATCAAACAAATAACCTAAGAATTTGACCTAAGAGACTTGAACTTCCTAGGCAAATACTCTACCACTGACTTACATCTCTGGTCCCCTCCCCTATCTCCTTTTACATTTTATTTGATATAAGGTCTCACTAAATTAGACAGGATGGTTTGTAATTTTTTTTGTAGCGGAATCAAGCCTTGAACTTGAGATTCTCCTGAATCAGCCTTCTGAATTACTAGGATAATAAGTGTACACCACCAAGCCTTATAGTAATCTCTATTATGAAAGTGTTCCCAAAACATTGTAAAAAGCATCATCTTACACTTTTATGAATGTCCTCAGTGTCTAGTTTAATCAAACACAGGCTAGAATCTCAGTGTACTTCTTCATTTAATCTTGAACCTTTATTTATTTGTTTGTTTGTTTTTTAAGATAGGGTTTCTCTGAGTAACAGCCCTGGCAGGCCTGGAACTCACTTTGTAGACCAGACTGGCCTCAAACTCACAGAGATCCACCTGCCTATGCCTCCCAAGTGCTGGGATTAAAGGCATACACCACCACCACACAGCTAATCTTACAATATTTTACATTAGTTGAAGTTCCTGAGGAAAATCTGAACTCTGGTAAGTGGCTGAAAAATAAAGGATTTTTTAATAGCCACTCAGATAATAGTGATATTCTTTGATACTAAAACAAAGCTTTACGTACTAGCTTATAGTTTGCAATATCAAATGAGAAAAAATTAATTAACTTTTGTATTTTGCCACACTATAATAATATATTTTAAATTTTAAGGGACTCTCTTATGCATGTGTAATTCTGTCACACCATTGGGAAATCTTGCATTATTGAAATATACAAATTTCCCAAATTTCATTTTATGCTATCAAAAATCATATTCATTATTATCAATACTAGCTTCACCAGAACATCTTCAGGTCTTGAGAAACCATCAAACCCCAGGGAACAGGTACCAATTACTATCCACCATCTGAAATTTTTCTTGGGAACTTAGATTCTACCATTGACCACAAATATTGTTAGTTGTTTTCCTTGAAGTTATAGACCCACTTAGTTCATTTTCAAGGAAATCTCTCAAGTCTGAATATATTTTTTTTAAGGATAGAAATTAGTTAACTGGCCCCAGGGTCACATAGCCAATAGCAGCAGAACTGGAATTAGAGAGCAGTATTTTAGAGTCTTTATGTTGTATTGCCCCATGTCTAAATTATTTGGGACTGACTAAAGCATGTTCTTATAATAGTGTGTATGGTGTTTTTCCTAGAGAACATGAATGGTTTAAACAGGATTTGCCCAGTTATCTATTTCCTGAAGACCCCTCCTATGATGCTAACGTCATTGATGATGAGGCTGTGAAAGAAGTATGTGAAAAATTTGAGTGTACAGAATCAGAAGTAATGAACAGTTTATATAGCGGTGATCCTCAAGACCAGCTTGCAGTGGCGTATCATCTTATCATTGACAATCGGAGAATAATGAACCAAGCCAGTGAGTTCTACCTCGCCTCTAGTCCTCCAACTGGTTCTTTTATGGATGATAGTGCCATGCATATCCCCCCAGGCCTGAAACCACATCCTGAAAGGATGCCACCTCTTATAGCAGACAGCCCCAAAGCACGGTGTCCATTGGATGCACTGAACACAACTAAGCCCAAATCTTTAGCTGTGAAAAAAGCCAAGTGGCATCTTGGAATCCGAAGCCAGAGCAAACCGTATGACATTATGGCCGAAGTGTACCGAGCTATGAAGCAGCTGGATTTTGAATGGAAGGTAGGAAATCACAATGTACTAACACTGTTAGTATAAAAGATTTTTCTTATACAGTAAGTTATCTAAGCAGTTGAGTATTGAAGTCCACATAAAGTTGTTTTTGATTTAGAAATAATTGCAGTGTGCTTTATGTTTTTGGTTGACATGGTTCATTCTTTTAAACTATATAACACACAGTGCTAAAACATAATAAATAAAGGATAAAGAGCTGTTGATTCTGGGAACATATTTTGAGTTACAGAATAGCATGCTTGGCTAGGAATTGAAATTATCTGAGAAAACAGCCCACCTGTTTCAACATGGTTCATAGCAACAACATTTCTGAAATCTGAAATCTTGAAAGGCAATTTTTTTCACTGTTTTCAAAAAGTTTCTTTTCTTTTCATGCTTTTTTTTTGGGGGGGTATGGATGGTTGATGGCTGTGGCAGCTAGTATTCAATATATATATTATGCTGTCAAGCATGTTCATTTATCAACAAATACTTTTCTCTCCAAGTTGAGAAATTCTCATATATGGGGTTTTTCATTCTTGGTATGTTAGTTACTTTCCTTGCTGCTGTGACAAAATTCCTGACACAAGGAATTTAAGGGAGGAAGGAATGTAGTCCATCACAGCAGGAAGTCCTGGAGGGGAGTGTGAGGCACATGGTCAGTGTCATATTGACAGACAGGAAACAGGAAGCAATGAACGCAGCTGCTGCTCACTTTCTTCTTTTCCTCAGTCCAGCATACGAACTGGTGCTGCCCACATTTAGTGTAGGCCTTCCCACTTCAGCTTACCCCGTCTAGAAAATCTCTCACATATGCCCAGAGGTTTGTCCTCTAGGTGGTTGTAGACCTTGTCACGTTGACAGTATTAACTGGCACAAGTCTACCTCTGTCAACTTGATACCTGATCATATCATTTCAAAGCTGTAGCCTTCTATCTCTTCTTCCCATAGATTCATGGCCATGTTGTGGTCTAAAATGCATTCAGCACAGCTTCAAAGGATCCCATAGTGTTTAACAGTGCCAACACTGTTCAGTTTCAATTATCACATTTGATTATGGCATATTTTCTTGCTATCAGCACACACTTTACTTTTTCAATTTAATATTTTGTTGCAGTTCAACTTTTTGAATATATATGGGGATATTTTTAAAACTTAAGATACCCCTTTAACTGTTACTCTTTTCTAGAGGGTGATGAACATTTATTTTAACTTTTTATTTTATCTATTTGTCTTTTACAAGCAGGACAGGGTTTCACCATGTAACTCTGGTCATACTGGAACTCACTATGTAGACAAGGCAGGCCTGAAACTCATAGAGATCCACCTGCCTCTGCTTCCAAGTGCTGGGATTAAAGCCATGTGCCCCTATAACTGGCCTATTTTAACTTTTTAAAATTCAGACAGTTCTTTAACAATTTCATACATGTATAAAATAAATTCTTGTTATTCTCCCAACTCTCTATTCTCACACTCCTGTCCTCCAGCTCTTCCCTATTTGTTCCTTACCAGAGCCACTACTCAGGGTTTTGTTGTGTGAGCCTTAAAGGAAAAAAACCATCAAATTTACCATATAATTATTCAACACATTTTAATCAATTTTAATTTGCTTTCAATTTTTACATGATCAAATAAATAACATTTCCTTAAACTAAGGTCAATTTTCTTTTTCTAAAGCAAGTTCATTTAGTTAAACAGGATTTTGCTGGGCATAGTATCTCATGCCTATAACACTAGCACTCCAGGAACCCAAAGCAGGAGAATTTCTATAAGCTCAAGACCCAGTGAGACCCTGTCTCACTTTATAAGCATATATAAAAAAGAGATGCCAACATTTTAAACTATCTAGTGGAAAGAATCTAGAAACTAATTTGACTAATTCTGGTTCTGAAAACCCAGAATCTCTTTATCTGAGCTGAAGTTTTACACCATCCTCAGGATATCATGTTATTGGGATTTTATGACTCTACATGATATAAGCCACTAACTTTTCGTTCTGTTATTCATTCTTCTCCCTGTTTATCAAAACCACTGAAGCAAAGGCTACGAAGATTATTACTAATACCCCAGAGCAGATCCATATCTGGGTTAAAGGCTAGACTATAGGATCTGAGTTTTTATACATGGTATTGTTAGTAGGATTAAATATACCAAATTACTTGTGACATAGAAGAAGAATCAACCATACAGCCTTCTCTCTCTTGCCCACATTTGCTTTTGTTGTTCTTTGCTAAGATGGGGGACACTGTGTAGGTTTAATGTTTCATTATTTCCTGTTTTAGGTAGTGAATGCCTACCATCTTCGAGTAAGAAGGAAAAACCCAGTGACTGGCACTTATGTGAAAATGAGCTTGCAGCTCTACCTGGTTGACAATCGGAGCTATCTTTTAGACTTCAAAAGCATTGATGGTAAGAAGACTAATAGGGATGAGTTCTGAAAAATAAAACTTGGCACCATTTGACCTAGTGTTACAGTCACCTCAAAGACATGGTGGGTGGGTTCTCTACTTTTTAAAGTAGACCTCATAAAAACATAAGTGAATTTAAATATGTAGTTTTAGCAGAGAATGAATTGCCAAAGATGGAAGGTATTTTCAAGGACGTAAGCATGCTTACTTTCAGTATAAATGCTGCATCCTATATTGAGAAGGACTTAGGGGCACACTAGCTGTGGAAATGTTATGAGTCACTGGTAATGGATTACGACTGTGGGAAGGACGAGCTAGTGCCTCCTCTGCTCCTAACACACAGACATCACAGTCCTTACCAAGCTCTCCGAGCTTTGATCTGTTCACTTCCCATTCTCAGTGCAGAGGCTTCAGGTAAGACTTGGGCAAGTGCACTTGCTATGTTTACTGTTCTTTGGTCTTTCAGATGAGGTTGTAGAGCAGAGGTCTGGTTCTTCAACACCTCAGCGCTCCTGTTCTGCTGCTGGCCTGCACAGACCAAGGTCAAGTTATGATTCCACCACAGCTGAGAACCATTCACTTTCTGGTTCTCTCACTGGCTCTTTGACTGGAAGCACTTTGTCTTCAGCTTCCCCCCGCCTGGGCAGTCACACCATGGATTTTTTTGAAATGTGTGCCAGTCTGATCACTACGCTAGCTCGTTGATAATCTACCACTGGTTTCTGTCTTTCTGTTACTGCACTGTGAAAATCACATATACTCTTTAAATTATTATCTCACTTTTGGGTATTACATACTCTGCAATATAAATTGATGTGAATATTCCCAGGTGACATGCAGTGTATTGGAATTACCGAAAACACAAAAGTCTGGCATTTTGTTTACTTTTAGAACTATTATTCTACTGTGCCTATGATAAATTCGAGTAGGTAGTAGTACCTTTAATGGATGAATGTTGATGTTCGCTAGTTTATACTTGTGAGTTCACTACACATGACTAGCACACTTCACTGATGAACCAGCTAACTTAGGAGTGGTTTGGTGGTACCTCCTTCCTTCATGTTTAGTGCACAGAAATTCAGTTTGCTTCAGTTTCAGAAGGTGTTTAGACGATCTAGGCACCCAGCTTTCTTGCACAAGACGATTAAGAAATAGTGTTAGTCAAATATTATGTAAGTATAGAAATCTGAAAGTCCTGTCCCCCTAAATACTAGAAACCAGGTTCTTTTTAATGGTTTCTGCTAATATTGCCTATTATTAGCGAGGAAGACTGTGTTTCTGTTAACAGATGCCCAGTCTCCAGGCTTTTAACATTTGTTCAGGGCCCCCAGTTAACTCCTACCACCACCACCAAGCAAGACAAAACCATGCAAAAATAGTACACAGTTAAATGAAACAAGGCAAAATACCAACAGCCCCTTGAAGGAAATTCTACTCTGACCCTCTGTTTTGTGTTTATGGGCCTGGAGTATGTTGGGAGGACCAGGAGGTAATGGCCCTGTGACATCTTTGCTAATTCACCTGAGGTTTAAGTTGTTATTGATGCCACCTCCTTCCTTAATAGCCATTGTCTTTGTTCATTGTTTTTTAATCTTTCAGTTGAAAACCCTGCTTTGTCCATAGGACCTTTGTGTACTTCCAAAGCTTGATCTGCTGTGACCTTCACTGTTGAACCTGATTGGACAGGGAAGCCTTAAACATTTAAAAGTATAGTCTCCTGGAATAAGTATATGTGTTGTTTACATATATACATGTATGTATTGACACATCAGTACTTTCAATCAAGGTTTTTTAATTTAAGATAAAAAACACTATTTAGCAGGATAAAGTTAATTGATTATATTTTCTTTTAGTAAAAGTATTTTAAAATTATGTATAACTTATCTAATAATGTATTTATTCATTTATTGTATTTATGTTGTGATTAACAAATCATTGACCTGATTTACCCTAGAAAACATTAAGCTCTTGATAATGAAAGCAACATTGCCTTGACAGGTTTCTCTTCACCAAAAATGGTTTGTTTTCTATCTACCAAGAAGAGCAAATGAGAGCATTAGACTAAAATTCTCATGTGTTTATGGAAGACAAGTTTGTCTGTCTTTAAATAGCTTTTTGAATCATTCGTTTACATCATAATGCATCAGATAATTTTGTAGTTTTTTTTTTTTTTTTTTTTTTTTTTTTTTTTTTTTTTTTTAGAAAATGATGGTCAGTACTTATCACCCCAACTTCTTAATATCAAAATAAAGGACCTTTGTTCTCCAATTTGAGAAAGTCAGTAGTGTACAATTAAGGTAGCTTAGGTTTTTAATCTTTGAAAGATTGCCATCTTGTGGCAATAGACAGTAATTTTTAGTAGTTATTTTAATAGCAATTTTAGTGAATTTGATGTTAGAAGCTTGCACATAGCAAAATTATTTTGTTTGAGTGATTATGATGCTATTCAAGAGCAAAAAAAATTTACTATTGTCCTATTTATTCCAATGTTTAATCAATATCCAGGTTGACAGTTACCTGTTGAATTTCAGAAGAACTGAAGGTCATCATTTTGTTTCTTTTCTTTTAACATCTTAAAACGTAATTGTTTTATGAATCTAGGTGATAGAGTAAATTGGTTTGCAGAGATAATTAAGTGACTCATCTAGCAAAATAGAAACTAGGACTTTGTGATAGCACAGTTTTTGTTGTTGTTGTTGTTATTGCTCTTGGCAACAGAGAAGGAAAGAATTCTTTGCAAATTTAAAATTTCTACATTTCAGTCAACATTGGATATAGTAGGTAGTGAGTTCATAGCAGGCTCTCCTCTTGGATTCTAGGGAGAATTACTGTTAGGTTATAGATGTGGGCCTCGTTTATGTCCTGGAAATGGACTCCACCTGGCTCTAAAATAGTATTTCCTAAAACAAAGAAATCCCTTGGAATAATTTTGGAAAATGTTGTGTTCTGCTCTGCACCTTACAGAGGACAGTGGGCATTAACACTAAAGACTTGGATAAGTTCTTTCAGAAAAAAAAGCCACATAACCATGTGTAACCCCAGCAATGCCCAAACTTGTTTACTGTTTTAAAATATCTGCTGAATATGGTTGTTTACCTGTAATCCCACTGGGGAACATGAGGCAGGAAGATATTTTAAGGCCAAACTAGACTACATAGATAGCAAGACCCTTAACATTCCATAAGAAAGTATGGAAAACAATTGTCCCTGAGTGCCACAGCCAGTGTGACACTTAAGTTAGCAGTTCTTCCCTTTCATGTGCTATGGACAGCTTGATTCAAATTTGGAACCACTCCATTTACCATGCAGACGTGTTCATCCTGAGTCTGCAGCTTGTATCACATGTTGGGTTTCTTAAACATATTGGTATTTTTTAGGTAGAACTTCTATTCTTTTTTCTCTTAATGGATGACTAAAAAGTCTTGGACAAAGTTACCGGAAGAATACGAGACTAGTGACTTGCTGTTATGGCTCCATGGAGAACCAATCAGCTTTAATTCATTCTTCCATGGCTACTGAACATTTTCTAAGTACTTTTATTGAGGACACCAAAGTTGAAGCCATCTCAAATTAAATCCACAGGGAGAGAGAAAAGCAAACCATTCACAAGTTAGCGTTTTGTTTTGATGAGGAAACCATTTTAGAGCCCCATGAAACATCTGGTCATCTGCAGAGAGAACCCAGGGGCCTAAGCTAAGCAGAAATGTATGTCCTTGTGTCAGGGAATTGGCTTATGTAGCACAGTAAGTTTCTACTTTATGCAAATAAGTCTTCAAAGATCCTTATATAATTCTGGGTATACTTTTTCCTTAGCTAGTTTGTACTCAGGGAATACAAATTTAATACTTGAGATAAAAGGAAATATAATTGGGAAATAATCATAAACAACCAAATCAGATTTTTTTATACTGCTTTATCTACTAATGTGTATGCATGCTCAGTTAATGTGGGCTCCACATTGATGTTTATAAGATTTAACATCCTGGAACATGCCTACCACAGACACTGTAGTTCTGTCTTCTGTCCACTGGTTAATAAGTTAAACTCCTGGTGTGGAGTCTCGTATCTAAATTTGAGATCTGCTCATAAACCAGACGGTTTGTGTTTGGTTTAAAGGTCTGAAACTCTTCAGTCTGACATAGCTCTACCTGTTACCTTTCCTTTAGTTACTCCACAGCTTTCAAGTAGGGAGCAGGGCTTTAATAGTTCTCAGCAACTCTGTTGAAAAGTTTGGGTGAAGGCTGTGTTCATCTCTTAGTAAGTTTCCAAATCCAAATCTTGGATTTGGCCTCAATTTTGAGATCCTAAAATGCAAGGGATAGGGAAAAGAGCTAGTTTCCCTTTGAACTTGAACGTTCTGCCTTGTTTATTTCTTCAGAGAATTTGTGTTAGTGTCTACTCTTTATGTATTTGCGCTTTTAATATCAGTATGAATGTTCTTTCTTAATTTAAGGCATTTCAAAGGTATATACACCTATATTATTATAAGCACAGCTACTTGGACTACTGGAATGCAAATGGCAAAAATCATCAGCAAATCTAAAGCATCACATGAATTTAACATTAATCAGAAAATGGCTAATATATAGTGGTGGCAGTGCTAACACACTTTCTTCCAGTAACCAGTCCAGTGAGCAGGAACAGCAGTCTCTCCATAAGTCATGAGTGCCATACATGGATTCAGTAGTGACCAAGCGTCCTTTGTGACACTTCACCTTTCTTTTGGGCTGAACAGTTTGAGTTTGTGAAAATCTGATAGGCAAGTAATAAAAATAAACACTGGTGTATTGCTTATAAGTCCTTGAGTGACATACAGTAGTTGTGATCGAATATATCTAGTTTAATTATAACAGCTAGTTGATTGCACTAACTAGATGTAATTATGTAAAATATTTATGATTATATTGATTTTTATAAGTATTTATAAGTTATTGAGGGTGCTTAAAATCCAGAAAAATCTCTAGAACATAATTTTTTCTTCAATTTTATTTATGTGATTTTGGGATGTGGGGAGTTTTGTACTGGGGATTAAACCCAGGACTTCACATACATGAAGCAAGTGCTTGTCTACTGACCCAAGTCCCCTCCTTATTTATGTAATTCTGAACATACAGTCTCTTCCTGTAAAGGAGAACTAGCCCAGCCCCTATCTAAGTGATCATAGTTTGTGATTGTTAAATGAAATAGGCTTATCTAAATTTCATATTGGTAATTTTTTATTTTGTGCATAAATGATATGACACTATTTTCATAGAGTGTATCTCTATGAATTACCTAATCACAATTGGCTTGATAGAAATTCTCTCAAACCTTTTAAAACTTGGAAATGTAACTTAAGTTAGTGAGTTTTAAACCATTCATATATGTATATTTAGATATACATATATGTTATTTAAAAACAAGCCGCTTCTTTGCCAGCCTTTCCTTGAATATTTATCATGCAGTTGATGCCACCAAACAGTTACACCATGAGGAACAGGAACCACAGTCTAGACTGGATTAAGTTTTGATTAAACTTCTTCTGCCATAACCTGATAAGAATCAGGTCCTATCTAGAAGTTACCTGTATTTTGTGAGCCAATGTTAATGTTTACTGCCAGCCTTGCATAACAATGCTGTTTGTGACTGCATGTGACTTTTGGTAACTATAGTTTATGTTTAAAAGCAGTTCAAATTTTATAGCGGCATTCATGATAATTTGGACAAGCAGGGTGGGTAAATTCAATTATATTTAAAGTGCAATTAAGGAAATTCTAGGGTATAATATTCTCTCCAGTTAAAAAAGTTAAGGATTTATAGAATGTCCTAGAATGAAGAAAACTTTGGACATAGACTTTTTTAAAAACAAGGTTTATACAGTGATTTTTTTTTTAAAATTCAAGATTTGCTACTTTTTGTTAAAGCTTCAAAGTGAATTGCATTGTTATTTCTCTCCTGCTAATCTAAATGTGAATTTTCACAGCTGAAAGTCTCTTGTAAATAAGTTTTGTTACCAAATGAAGACCATTTTTTGAGATGGAGAACATTTTCCTAGAATGGAAGAGACATAGACCCACTGTCTACACAAAGAAAGAAACAGTACCTGGTGCCTTCTCAAATAATTGCAGAGTAAAAGCAAACACACTTTCAAACTCCATTTTCTTTCGAGTTCCCTGTTTCCTTGTGACCTGCCCCACAAAGTCATGTGGTTTGCTTCTGCCTTTTTCAATTCCACTTGACCAAACTTCACACCATCACCCCGGCAGTTGTTCACTGAATAGAGTTTCTGTTTCATTTATTTCACTTTTTAAAGCCACCTGGGCAAATATTTGGCTGCCTTCTTGTGCTTTTAAAATGAATGCAATTACTAGCAATCTTTATATTTTAAAGTTTGTAAAGGAAAGAAACGCAGAGCTAAAGATCTAATCTAATTGAAATCCAATTCCCCATTTGCTACTATAGCAGCACAAGTTATGTAACCTTGTGTAGTTTTCTCTTGTACAAAATGTGGATAATAACCTACCTCACAGATGTGTGTGAGAAGTCGTTTGAAAGCCCGGAAGTAGGGGTTTATAGTCCCATATTCAACGTCAATCTTTGCTGTTGTACTAGACATCTTTGATACTGGTAGGATGAGTACCTTGTTTTTAGATGTTGTATGTAATAAGAGCCTAGTGCTGAGAATGTTTAAGATAGTTTCACAAATTATAGTGTTCTTATTGTAAGACACTTAAAATTTCTTGGAAACCTCAAATATTTAAATATCAAGCCTGTCTTTTGTTTCAATAAATATTTTATTCAGAATGTTGGCTGAAGCTGCCTTAATGTACCAAAATACAGCTTTCTGTCAAGGCTGTTCAAAAATACCCATGGTTATACTGTTTTGAGTGTTGACGGTGAAGCTATCATAACTATGACCTTGAAGGATAGTATTTTGGTATTATTTTGGGAGTAATGGTTGTGTTTTTATCATGTTTAATGATTATACAGTGATTCTTGAGTGTAAACAATAAAATTGAAAGTTGGCAGATACTAGGTTATGGGTATGATCATAACATAATGTATTATTGGATAGTAATTATTTGATTTTTTTTCAGGAACACCATGCATTCATTCTCAACCTGTAATGTAGTCCCATAATGTATTAACTCATTGGTGCAGTGCTAGAGTATGTCTCTATTTAAGACATTGTTAAATTGACGAAATGGGACTACATTTTATAGTTGGTTTCAGAACAGAAGACAACAGACTCACAGTGATTTTGTTTAAATAACTATAGATTCTACTTTCAGTTTTATTTGTTATGCATTTTGTGAGTTAAATGATTGTTGGGAAGGATTTATCTTCAGTAACCATGTAGAAAAGTTTAGTGAATTGCAAAGCGTTTCATATTTGCAGGTTCTGTCTAATTAATGTTTGCACTGTATGGAACTCATTGGCAACAAATGCAAGAGAAAAAGTGCCCTATCTGATTGTGTGTCTGCATTTTCCACAAAATCAAATTAAAATCTGGTCAATTTGAAAGCTATTTTTGTTTCTGTTCAGTCATTAACCTAATGTTCTGTGTTTCAGCTAATAATTCCTGAGAAAGCTGTCTTAGAAATTGCTTATGACTCATTGGAGATTTCCCACCATTGTTGTACACTTTTGTCTTTGTTACTGTACACTGTATTTTTAACCTGAGTCATATTTAAGTGTTCTATTTTTTATGACAAATTGCCACAATTTTAAGGACTTAGCACAGATGTATTATTTTATTCTTTGGAAATGCCACAGGTATACTTGGATTTTCTCAGGTTACTAAACACGTCTTCTACTACTGCTACACATTTACTATTAATATTGTTAATTACTATTATTACTACTAATAGTAGTAGTAATACAACAACTACTGCTAGTAGTATTTCTTCTTCTTTCCCCTTTTCCTGATCCCTATATTTTCTCCTTCCCCTTCTCCTCCTATTGTATTTTTGTTTTGTTTTGTTTTTGAGACAGGGTCTCATGTAACCCAGGTTTACCTCAGACTCACTATGGAGCTAAGGGTGATCTCAAACTTCTGATCTTTCTGTGTCTACCTCCCAAGTGTTGGGATTAGAGGCATGTACTGTTATTCTCATTTTATGCCATGGTGGGTATGCATACAAGGTAAGCAGTCTATTACCTAAGTGGTTTGTCATATATATATATATAGTTGTTTATAGGTTTGTCATATGCAATCTTTATTAGTTTGTAGAATGTTCTATCCCTAAATTCTCAAGACTTTAATTTGAAAACACATTAAATTTTGTTGTCTTTTCTGCATCTATTGAAATGATCATGTGATTTCTGTCCTTACAATGATTTATCTTGGTGAACATCTTTACTGTTAGTTAAATGGAAGCAATGGGGCTTCAGTTAGTTTTAAACTCTCACCATCAATTACAGTTTTATTCATTTATGATAGGGGTTTGAATGAGATGGCTCTCTGTAGGCTCAGATATTTTGAACCCTTGTTCCTCAATTGGTGGACTATTTGGGGAGGTTTAGGAGTGGACTTGCAGAAGGAAGTATGTCACAGGCTTTGATATGTATAGCTTTGCCTACTTCTAAGTTTACATTCTCTGCTTCATGTTTGCAGTCCAAGATGTGAATTCTCAACTTTCTGCTCCTGCAGCCATGTCTACTGCTTGCTGCTATGCCTCTTCATGATGGCCTCTTGTCCCTCTGGAATGGTCATGTTTTAGCAACAATAGAAAAGTAACTGGTACAGAAGTTGGTACCAAGAGTGGGACCTGTTTTGAAGAACCTAGTCATGTTGGATTATTTGAAGATTGTCTATATTTGGACATTCTTTTTCAGCAACAGAATAGTAAGCAATACACTTATCCATGTGTACCCTGGAACTGGAGTTACAGATGGTTGTGAGCTTTTATATAGGTGACGAGAATCAAGTTCAGGTCTTCCAAAAGAGCAGTCAGTGTTTGCAACTATTGAGCGATATCAGTAGCCCCATTCCAGTGACACAGGTTAAAACACATTGAGTTAATAATATACATAATTATGGGTAAATATATAAAAAATTAAACTAGTAAAAAATTAACAAGACAAAAACAAAAATGCAACAAAACACAAAAAGACACAGGATGAAAACATATACTAACCAACAAAGCAAAACAAACACAAGGAGGATAACTCTTAACCCTGTCTAGCCCTCACTAGCAAATGTTTCTAGTCCATCCATGTTCAGTTCCCAGGAGCTGAGGGCTGTGTGCTTCATTTCCAATGAAGTTCATTTACATGAACTCCAACTATGAGGATTAGAGCTATCAGGTGCTTATTCACAGGTGGAGTGACTGCAGTGCTCTGGCCTTGCTTAGGTGACAGCAGGACTGTGGGCATGGCTGAAGCCTCGGTGAGGGTGATGATCTCCCAGGTGATGGGGAGTAGAGGGGGAGCCTTGGCAGCACATGCTAACCTCTAGCATGATTGGCCAGGGAAAGCCTTGGGAAATAAGCGATGACTTCTGAGGTGATATGGCTACAACCTTGGGGTACTCATGCCAATACTGAGATGAATGGTGGGACCAACACCTTGGGCTAAATTTTCAGTTTTATAGCCACACTGTTCCCACTGTAGATTTTCAGAATATAGCACAGGTTCTGGCATTTGGGTTCTAAACATCCTGAAATTCCTCCCCCCCCCCCTTTTTTTTTTTTTTTAATGACCCAGTCATTGTTCAATAGTTTTTCTATTTTCATGATTTAAATACTCTGATTTCTAGCTTTAGTCATAGAATACAAGAAATTTGGTATTTTTGAAAAAATTTGTTACGACTTGCTTTGTGTTAAAATATGTGATCTATGAAAATGTGTACTCTAAACTCTGCCGATGAAATAGTATGCAGATGTCTGTCAAGTTCGTTTGACGTTTTCTTGCTATGTCTGGCTGACTTGATGAGAACAGGGTGTTGAAGTCACCTACCCATATTACTATAGGCCTTTTTATCCAGCTGGGTCTGTTTAGTGGCATTAGGTGCACTGATGTTTGTTGAATGCACCTTTACAATTGTTCCTGTAATCAAAATGAAGTGACCTTGCCTAACTCTGGTGACTGTCTTCAGTTTTGAGTCTCATGTGTCAGGCCTCAGTAGGGCTGTACCTGCTTGTTTCTTTTTCCATTTACTTGTGATGATGTGTTAGGCTGCATTTGTCTTTGCCTGTTGAGGATTCATTTCCAAAGGCAAAAAAATAGATAAATCATGTATTTTTAACTTAGGGTTTTTTCTTTGAGACTTCCATGAGTACTGTAACTGTATCATTTCTGTGACTCCATGACCTCTCCTATAATATTTACTGTCACACAACCTCCTGAGCTCATTTAGTGTTCTTCCTGTGTACAAGTGTTTTAGAGCTGACTCCTTGGGCTTGTGTAACCTGTCAGGGAGCCTGTTCCTATAGAAGATGGAGTCTCCGTCAGAAGCCATTGATTGCCTGTTGCTCTTCATCTAGGTACGGGGTCTTGTGAACTTTCTCCTAATGAATATTGCTAAGAAGACTTTTTTTTTTTCCTCCATAATTTGTAGCTATCAATCGAATTCCTTCCCAAACATTGGCATTTCCTTTTAGTCTAATCCTTGACTGGGCCCCCTGTCTTTAGGGGAAACCATTCCTGCCATTTTCACTGCATATCATTTGCCTGAATTTTTTTCACAGTTCCCAAGAAGATATAGATTTTTCTAGTTTGTGTCTTTATTTCAAGTTGTAGGTAAAATTTTCTGTCCTGCCAGCCGACTCCCAAATAACCACACGGAAACTTATTAATAATTACAAATGCTCAATAGTTTGGCCTTATTACTAACTAACTCTTACAAGTTAAATTAACCCATTTTCTTATCTATATTCTACTACGTGGCTTTGGTACCTTTTCTCAGCACGGCATGTTCATCTTGCTTCTCCCCTAGTCTGGCAACTTCACCCTCTTCATACCAGAGCTCTCTTCCTGTCTGCAAACCTGCTGAACCTCTTTCTGCCTGGCTATTGGCCATCTAGCTCTTTATTAAACCAATGAGAATAACACATCTTTACAGTGTACAAAAAGATTGTTCCACAACATTTAGTGCCACTTTTGCTGTAACACCTTTATTAATTCTTTAGTCATTCCACATATAATGTGTTTATAAATACCTTTGATTCATGTGTTTTAGAATGAAAATTACCTTTATTGGCGAGTGCCACCTGGACCATGTCATATAGAGGAAGATGGAAGAACATATAGAAGCTAGAAAGTAGCTTTTAAATAGAAAGGATGATGCTGTCAGGAAAAAGTCTTCCATCGTGTCTGCTACTTAGAGTCTTCATGTGCGTTTTCGGGAATATAAGCCACATGAGAGCTGGTGGCCAGAGGAGGGTGTTTCATCTGGAGTAACAGGTATTATGAGCTACTGCATGTTGGTGCTGGGAACTGAACTTTGGGTCCTCTAGGAAATGGAAAAACATTGAACAGTTGAAAGCATATGTAAAATTTATTACTAGCATACAGTGCACATCAGGTAGAACCAGAATGTTATTTACAACTCTGCAATTTCTATATATTATCATGTGAATGAACTACATTTGGATATGTTTTGGGCATAGACAAACTAATAATTTTCCCTATTTTAAGTAGTATGAAGTTTTAACATGATACATGTAAATATTTTCACCTTTTCATTAAATATGCTTAAACACTTCTAAACAATACTTCAGGTTGAATTTGGAAAAGATACTTTTCTCCCCAGCAAACTATTTCCTTCAGTAGTACTTATCTTCTATTACTTTGGTTAAAAAATGATTATGGCTCAGGTGTGGTTTTGTTGTTGAGAGTACCATGGTTATACTATTTACTACTTGGAGTTCATATGAAATGTAGATGTGCACCAAGAAACGGCATTCAATGTGTACTAACATCAAAAGTTGACTAACCATCTGCACAGCTCACTGGTGCCATAAGGCAAGATGTCTAACTTGGGCTATGGCTCATTAGGCAAGAGCTCACGCACTAATGTTCTGTTTCACAGTCTCTTGAACCAGCAGTAAACTAGACATTGAAAGACAAACTTTTCTGAAGTAAAACCAACAATGACATGTTGAGGGTTTTCTTCCAAGTTTCTGACAGAAGTGTCCACAGTCCATCTCATTGGAGACAGGAACTGAAAGTGCTGTGAAGCCGGACTCACACTTTGGGCACATCCTGACTTATGCAGACCTTCCAAATAGAATCAGCCCTGATGCCTGGTATGGAAAACAGAACATGGAAGCATATAAACTAGATGGTAAATGCAACAGTTAGGAGATTTCAGATGATTTTTAAAAACTATTTACAAATGTGTTCTGCATGTTAGTTTGCCAAGTATACTCAAAAATCCAGGGTTTAGGCTTCCTCTGATGGAGTTTGAGAAATTCCACTACATAGCCAGGTTTCAGTTTTGGCGGGGTCAGGGTTACTCTATGTAGTCCTTGCTGTCCTGGAACTCACTCTGTAGACCAGAGTGACCTCGAACTCAAGAGATCCTCCCAAGTTCTGGGAAGCTAGTTTTTATAGCTCCATAGTGGGTGCGAATATACCATACCTGGTATGCTGAAAACTAACTGCATAGCTAGTTTCCTAATAAACTTGTTAGTCCCTTAAGACTAGTAAACATGATACTATATGAAGTACCTGGAACTCATGACTGGATATAAAATTAAATAACTTACTTGAAATGTAGATGTTCAATGAGCACATATCCATCTGTAGAAACAAAACTTACATTACTAACCTGAGATTTCTAGAGAAAAACTTTTTTTTTTAAATTAAAGTTCAACATAAACTCACATTTGCCTTTGGAGTTGCGACATATCACTAGGTTTTGTTCAGTGGTGTCAATGACTTCCAGCTGTTCTCCAGGAGTTATTGGCAGATCAAATATTCCATTTCGTGAATTACTGGAGCATGCTACTGCTCTGTTAATGACCACAATCTCTTTACCATACTAGAATGAGAAATTACTATAGTAAGGGCATGCCTGCATAGTTATTACAACAGAATTAATGAAAGATACAATATAGTAATCTCAAGAAACAGGATGCTAAATACTGACAAAATAAATGATGGGGGAATTAGAGTGAAAGTTCCTTAATAATAAAATCCAGAACAAAACATTTGTCTAATGTGATCATATTTTACAACTGTTTTCACATCCACTGATACATATTAGAACAAGTCCTGGTAGGTGTGCATATCCCACACAGTGGTATGCTGAAACAGTAACAAAGCTACCTCTTAACTCAGGAGAGGAAACACTTAAAGCTGTAGAGGTAGGTTTCTGTTTCAGGATGATGCTCCATCCTCACCTTTGAAGAGCATGTGTACTTTAAAATGGTGGTAGTTGGGTATATAGGGTAAGGAGATTCCCACTATGTATGGTGAAAGACAGGCATTTGTGAGGGAGCAATCCCTGGTGGGGAATTCAGTTCCTGATCCCACAGGATTGCTTCCATCACTGGTGTTTACTTCAACACATTAGGGTGACCTGACTAAGAGCACCTCTTGCTACCCTCACAAACCCCTAACATCTCTTCCTCTCTCTAGGCCATTGTTTTTGTTACTATGAATTCTCAGTGGTTTCTTAAAAAACAAATCTTAAGTTGGCCACCCTCCTAGTTACACAGTTCTGAAGTCTCTGTTGCCTTTAGGACAAGGTCCACATTTTTTTGGCTTGATGTTCAGGGTCCTTTGCACACTATTATTCCTTGTCCTTACTGAAACCCCAGGAAGCTCCATGGTGCTTTGTAAACATACCATGCTTCCCATTGCTCCAGGCCTTCACTCATGTGAGCTCTCTCTCTCCTTGAAATACTCTGCTGCCAACAACCTGTTATATATTTTTGTGACTACATGAACAATTTACTGCTGTAACTGTACTAAATATATTCCTATTGTAGGATTTAGTGAACACACTGCCTTTTAAATAGAAACTAGAGGTGAGTGTTCCTCATCTTTGTACCCTCAAGTCCTGTCAACAGTGAGGTACACAGTATTTTTTTTTTATTTGAGCTGGTTTGAAATGGCATATTATTTCCTAAAGATAAACTGGAAGCTTACCTCAAGTAATTAGGGACAGACTCATATACATACAGAGGAGATGGGATTTCTGTCCCATGTGGGCAAGGAAGAAAGCTTTGGTGGATTATAGGGGTCTTTTCAAGCAGAGATCACTATGCTGTTGTTTTTGATCTAATGTGTGGTGATTTCAGATAATAACTTCCTTATCAGCTTTGGCCAAGCAGATGATACTAGAGGTTAAGGGATTTCTGTATAGTCTTACTTTTAGTTCACTTTCCAAAACAGTCTGAGATGTTTATGGAGTGTGAGGTAGTGTTTTCTGCTGAACACATGGATGTGAAGATAATCTATGTCTCCTAGAATTTCATAGTTTTAGTATGATGAACTCTACCAGGAGTTGGTATTTACGTAAGCAGAAGAGCAATTTCCTTAATCAAAAGTTTGAGTAGGTGTTTCTGGAATGAGAAGATGCCTCAACTGGGTCTTGATAAGTGAACACAGCAGATGGAGAAAGCAGCAGGGGGATGTCAGATGAAGAGTAGACCAAGTTGGTGCAAGCTCTTTTAGAAACAGAATTGTGAGCACTTTGTTGCTAAAGCAGAAAGAGCAGAGACAAAATTTGAGGAGAGAGAACAGATCATCTTCCTTCATGACTTGAGGAAACTATTATCAAACATTTCTGGTCCCTCTGACTCATTGTTTAAAATGTTTCCTGAATTCAGAAATTCTCACTTTGGCAGAATATGAAATCAGGAAGGACTGTCTCACTAGACTCACTCAAACACAACACATGAAAGGATCTCCTTATAATCAGTATTGTACAAATGTGCTGATGGAGTGAGATTTCAATAGAGCCTTAAATAACATTTTTTGAAGCTTTACTGGATGGAATAGCAGTGTACAAAGGCATGCTAATATAGGAATGTATCTGATTGTTTTAGACAAAAGATCAGATCTTTATCTTAGAATGGCCAAAATGCAGCAACCTAATGGAGCCTTCAAGAGTAGAAGTTTCTAATTGTCAATAGTGTTAGTTTTCTGTTAATTTTCACTTTCAGAAAAGAACATACCTGAAATCTTTCTCTGAAAAGTTTTTCTTCTTTTTCCATTCTATTCTTTTCTAAGTTGTGCTTCTTAGCTCTGAAGAAGTTTTTGGGAGAAAAACTGGCAAGAAATAACATGGGTAAGGTTAAGTTAAGCATAACAAAATCCTAAATTTGTGAGTCTGAAGTCACCCTGTCTCAGGATAAACTCAGGTATATAATTTGGTGCATGTATAATTTTGCGTAATACATATAGTACTTATTTCATCTGTCTATACATACCCCTCTACTTGAGCAGATTTTCATAACTACTGAAAAAGGTAACACCAAGTATTTTTCTGTTTCATACATACATATGTGTTTGTATATTTTTCAGTGCTGAAGATCAAACCCAGAGCCTCATATACACTATATATCCACATTCTACCACTGAGCTATATCCCTAAGAATATTTTTGATAGCAAACAAGCATGAAATAAAATCAACTTGATATGATAGAACATTGAGTGCAGGAGGAGCAGTGGGGTAAGAGAAGTAACATGTTTATAGAGTAGTAGGCATATGAGTTACTTTTCTTTTTCTTTTGCAATGAGAAAACACCATGACTAAGGCATATTATAGGAGGAAATGTTTATTTGGGCTCATGATTCCTGGGGGATTAGAGTTCATCCTGGCAGGGAACTGGCAGACACAGTGACTGGAGAAACAAGCACCAAGCAGAGAGCAAACTAGAAATGATATGAGCCTTTAAACTCCCAAAGCCCACCCTCAAGTGACATACATTTCTTCAGTAAGACTATCTCTGAAATGTACCCAAACAGTCCCAAAAAACTGGAACCAGGTATTCAAATGCCTGAGACTATGGAGGACATTTGTCCCAAAACACCACAAAAAGGTAACTGTTTTTGACAATATTTGAATGCTTTCAGTATAAACAAATAAGATCTGGGGTGATGGACTGAACCCCTGAACTATGAGCCAAAATAAACACTTTCTGTCTTAAGTTGGCTTAGGGGGATATTTTATCACAACAACAAGAAAAGTAAGAAATACATGGACAGCGAGATGCAACAAACATGGGTCAAAGGTGAAACACATAAAATGGACTAATGTACAACAGAAGCTGACTGAGATGCCTCCCTTGTTCTGCCTCCTGCTTTACAAATGGAGTTTGGTTCTAAGCAATTTCAGTGAGGAGTATCTCCTATATTGGAGAATCTTTCCCATGCTTCTAGTCACAGCCACATTCTTGGAGATTACTGTGGCAGGCAAGTATACAGCATAGTTTAGCAACCTGATACCCTATACTTTGTAGGGTCTAAAAATGCGCTCAACAGCTTGAGACTCTTACCCACACACACATCTCTGATCAAGTCTGCATATAAAATGCGCTCAACAGCTTGAGACTCTTACCCACACACACATCTCTGATCACTTCTTCATATCCCTTCCACTATAAATGATCACCCAACTCAGATTGAATTCAGCTATACTCTGCTTATGTTTTACTACAGAAATGGAAAGGCCTTAACTAGCTTTGGGTACAGGTGTGATAAAGAAAACCATGTTCCCAAGAGAACTTTTAGGGAACAATCCCCTAATTTCCATTTTCTACTTACCCATAACTGGACACACACGATTAAAATCAGACACATTATGGAATGGGACATGCCCAGGAGACACATGGTTTTGTAACCCCATCTAAGAGAACCACTCTAACTACACCTGTGAATAACTGGCCCCTGCTCTCTTATAATACTGTGCTCTGACCTGTTTTAGCTATTTGAGTAAAGTTTCCTAAATAGTGTGTGTTGGTTTTTATTCCTTTCTTGAATAAAAATCCAAGAATCTGGAAATGTCCATCTCAGACCCTGACCACTGGTAATAATACCATTTCCATGCCCACCACTCTTGTTTAATGTCCTTCAGTGTCTCTGCACTACCTATAGCAAAATGCTGGTTCCTAGCACCCTACACAGGTGTTTGACTGTTGGACAAAGGGTCAGAAACCTTCCTGACACTGAACTTCTTGGATTTCTTTTTTGCAGTGCTATGCAAACAAGTATCATGTTTAATGTAAAAAAGAAAACCAACTTTTTCTAGTCTGAATACCTCTTTCCAAATTGAGAGAAAAAAAAAAACTTAAGGGAGGGGTTGCCTTTGCCACTCTGAGTTGTTTCAACTTGTGGACAAATGTCTGACTTCTGAGATACCCTAGGAAAACAATTGGTTTTGTTTTGTTTTTTAGTGCAGGCAAATCACCCACTGTTTACTAAGGATTTCCCCAAGAGGTTTGTTAGAGTCCCTGACCCTACCTCATGCACAGCAACTGGAAGAGGAGAACATAGCGAAGTATGCACATGCCCTTCCCAGAAGCCAGTGCAGTCTGAACCACATGAATGGAGGTTAGATCCCAAGCTGATAAAGCATTACTATTGCATTGTAACACTCAAGGTAGTCATAGCTAACCTTATATTTTAGCAACACTGGTCATTCCTAATTGTTATTCTAGTAAAGCTCTGTCCGTCTGGAGAAATGCTGCTATGGCCTAAAAGACATGCAGTCTGGAAGGCCTTTGTTTGCTAAGGGCTACCTCCCATGCTTGTTTCTCATCAGTGGAGAGGAGGGAGGAGGTTGGGGATGAATGTAAGGAACTGTGTGTTTATACCTTTGTCTTTTAATCCTCTCACTTGTACTATGAGGCAAGTGTTGCTATTCTCAGTTGCAGACAAGGACCCTGAAAATCAAATTTGAGGACTTGCCTAAGGTCGACAGCTGGTAAGAGGTGGGAACTGTAGCAGTGAAGTTGTGAGCACACTTGTAGTCTTACCTTTTGGATCCATCGCTGCTTTTTTTCCCCCTTTTCCCCTTTGATGTCAAAAACTTAGGCTTCCAAGTTTTAGGTTTATCTTCATCTCTGAGGAGAAAATTGTCTTGATAAAGTAAATGAAGATTGAACTAGTAAACACTTATAGAACCACCCATGCTTTCAACTCACCCAGAGGTCTGTTTCCCTGCTCACAGCAAGGCTGTACAGTGACCACATCACCCAGAGGTCTGTTTCCCTGCTCACAGCAAGGCTGTACAGTGACCACATCACCCAGAGGTCTGTTTTCCTACTCACAGCAAGGCTGTACAGTGACCACATCACCCAGAGGTCTGTTTCCCTGCTCACAGCAAGGCTGTACAGTGACCACATCACCCAGAGGTCTGTTTCCCTGCTCACAGCAAGGTCATACAATGAGCATCTGGGCTCTACAGGCTACATCCTCTATAGTAACTATTAGCTTCACTGTTGTGACTTCATTTACTGAAACAAATAGCAGGCCACACTGGCCCACAGGCCTGAAGCTACTGACCTCCCTTCTTAGTGGCCCAAAGCAAAAACCAAATTAGCCAGCTTGTAATCATACCTATCTCCTTTCTGAGTTTCAGTTTTTTTTTTTTTTTTTCTCTAAAGTGTAAATCCTACTAGTAAACTTGCAATTCACCAATGGCTAAGGATGTACCTCACCTCAGTAGGAATGGCTAACATAACCAAAAATTAATGCTTGTGGGAGTGCAAATTAGCATAACTATTGTAGAAATAAGTCTGAAGTTTTCTAAAAAATCAAAAATAAAATTACCACATAACCCAGGTCTAGGGCATATCCCCAAAGGACTTCCCATCTACTACAGTGGTATTTGCACATCTACTTTCATTGCTGTAGCTCTCACAGTAACAAGGAAATGGAACCAGCCTAGATATCTACCAACTGATGAATGGATAATGAGAATGGCAGAGGGGCTGGAGGGGCAGCTAAGGGGTTAAGAACATGTGCTGATCTTATACAGATCCCAGGTATATTTCCAGCTCACAACTGCCAAGAACTCTAACTCCAGTGGATCCAACACCTCTGAACTCCAAGGGCACCTGCACTCACATGCACACACATTCACATATTTAAAAAACCATCCTTTCTAAAAGGTGGTACATATATGCAGTGGAATTGTAGCTCTAAAAAAAAAA